TAATATCAAGCTTAAAAATAGTATTCACCAGATGAAATTTTAAAACTTGTTGTAAAACATATTTTGAGAAGAGAGCTGATAATTATTAACGTACCTAAATTCTATTTTCAGCGTCACAACTGCCAGGGAGCTAATATGATTTTACATTTTACATTTTGAAGTACTCAAAATTGAACTCTGTGTATTTAAACTGTTTTAACTTTGATTCAATTATAGCCACTGACGGCACAATGTTTAATAATCGTATTTTCATGTGAACTTATAATTTAATTACTTTTGATGTGATGACTTATAGGATTATTCGTTATAAATAAGCGCGTTATACCTACGTATAATTAATAGTGATGACATTTCTAAATATGTTTTTATCATGATATTTCTCTGCACATCAGGTCGGGTAAAATATGATAAGCTATTAATTGTTAGTACAGCTGATATAATATATTATAAATGGTATTATCCTATAGTGGTATCACAATTAAGGTTTTTAAAATACGATTGAATAACTATACCTAGTCTATAATATTGTCAAAAATGGTTTTAAAACGTCAGAAGTAGATAGCTTTTAAATATATGTTCTATCCTCAAGACGTGTAAGTATTAAAGAACAAAAGTTTTTTTAAGTGTATAGCACACTTTTACGATATTATTATATTACCTATTCTACTACGTCCATTCGACACGCASCAAACTAACAAACTTGCGTATGTTCATCGTTGTAGGATAAATTACGTCCACTTGGATATTTTGAAGAGAGAATAAACTTAACAAGAAAACTAAGTTTGTTGTAATGTAATCACTCAACTTTCACGGTCTTTTATAAAAACGTGGAATTTCCTCTAAAAATTAAAACGTTCTCTCATGGTTTCCCGATGTCAAAGGTGGAAGCTGCATTACCTGCATTACGCCCAACATGWAATGTGAGGTCAACAATGAAGCAAATTATAGTCCATTATTATTTAAATATTGTATAGRAGTCAGAGAGGAATAGAAATCAATAATTGGACCCTTTAAAAACAACACATATTTTGTTTAAAAAAAAATTGAACTGTGTAGACTATAATGTAATAATAATATAAACTGTGTTTACTACATAGGTACTTTACATTTCATTAATATATGTTAGATGTTTACTACATCTGTATAGATCATCCTTAAAAAAAAACAATAACGAGCACAAACTACAAACAATGTACTACTCGTACAACATGTTAACTTTAARATATTTAATACTTACACGTGTTTTGTGCGAAAAATCAAAAACAGGTTGCGGATCTCCGAACCTCGACACAAAGATCGTGGGCGGCGACCCGTCGGGCGTGCACGAATACCCCTGGATGGTCCGTCTGTCGTATTTCAATCAATTCTACTGCGGCGGTACACTGATCAACGATAGATACGTGCTGACGGCCGCTCATTGTGTCAAAGGGTATGCCTAAATTGCATATTTTATGTAACGACGATAGTGGTGATTGGTATACATATATAGGGTAGTTCGTAGAATTTAAGTACAGATACAGAAGTATTTTATGTTAAGGTTTACTAGACACGAATAATTTGTTTTTCATAYGCTTTGTGTTATTTATACCTAGGTAGGTATTTTAAATGTTTGACTTTTTTAAACTTTCTTTTGAGTTATACGAGTCGAATGATACAATTTCGTAATCGAATAAAAAAGTTCAAAAATTAAAAAGGTTCATCGTCAGTGTTCGTATACCAATTTAAAAATATCGAATACATACATATACGTACTAAAAATAGTCACATTTTTGTTTTTGTTTTAAGCGTTCTTATAACTAAATAAGAATAATATTAAAAACATATAGCCACAGTTTTTTATATAAGTTATTGGATAATGGATTTCATATTTTGAAAAAATCATCGAAAATATTAGTATATTAAATATTATAACTTAATATTGTTAAATTGATACATAAATCGTTTTTTAGGCTAATTAAACTATACTGAAAATAGTTAAAGTTTACAGACAGTTTTTATACATTAATTCTTCATTCGTGTGAAAGAAAATCTAATGTAAAAAAAAATAATTTTTTAATTATATACTTAAAAGAAAGATATCATATATTTCAATCTTGATTTATGCTATGCATAACCTAATCTGAGGTTAAGCCAAATGTATACCTAACAAATGGCATAAAATGTAATATATATCAATCGAGTGGTTCGGGCCACCGATTACAATTTATAAGAAAATACCTGTAATATATTCAAATGTTGTTTAAAGATTTATATAGGTAAATAAATTGAAATTATTTCTAAATACATTTTTAAGCACCTATAGCTACTTACATTTATATTGGTG